TACTTCAACAGCTCATGGGTAAGGCGGAGGCGGAGGTTCCAAACATGGCCGCAAGTTAGAGACTCTTTGCAACACGCTCCTCATGGCATTGGACAAGGCTTCAAGACGACATCTGCATGGGTTCGAGTCGCCACCATGAGTTGAATGCCAAGAGGAAAAGACGTCTTTTGCATTGCTAGGAGAGAGAGACTAATGGAATAGTGCTACGGCTTGCCGATGATGCCCTCGCATTGGGACAAGCTGACACCTACAAAGATCCGTGGACCAGAAATCACGAAACCTGGGTACAACAACTGGAGTGCGAACGCGAGAGACATGCCGAAGCGGTTTGTGGGGACTATGGTTTCAGGTTGCAGATTTGGAATCGAAGGCCCGGCACTACACACTTGTAAAACCCAGCCCGATCTATCTTTCAACAAGCCTTCGCAGGATTGCGACATCCTGGCCTCAAACACCTCTCATCATCCGAGGAATCTTGCGGCAACCTACGCTCTCAAGCGCTGCTGCCCTAAACGGAGTCAGCTGTAAGAGTACTACTGGATTCAGGTCTTCCGCCTCTGATCAATGAAACTTTCGACAGGGGGCTGATCTCAGTGCATAGAGAAGCATCAGGCGCCTGCATGGGGGCTTGTCAGATCTAGGTATTAGGGTTCCTAAACTCTAAACTCTAGTCTACCCAAAGCTTACCTTGTGCCTTCATGAGATTAAAGAGTTTTGAGAGTAGCCATCACTTCAGGACCCTCACGTCGCTCCCTACGTCGCGGTGTCGTGTCTAACCCTGTCTGCTTCACTGTGTTTAGGCTTACATGGAGGCTTCTCAACGTAGGGTATGGACTCGCACCAAATTTATGAGAGTCCTCTAAACTGCGGATAATGAAAGTGAGGCGGAAAAGTTTCAGAATTCCTTTCTTGTGACACTCAAATTCACGTAGGAAAGCCAAACAAGCCCCGAAACGAGTCTTGCCTAGCGCTTGATGTCCTCAGCCCTTCCACGGTAGCCACGGTCCAAACCAAACGTGTGCTTACGGCTTACGGCTGTCAGGGCGCAGGCTCGAAGGCTTGGTGCCACATAGACTTGAGCCGCCGATATGGTTTCTTCGGTCCATGAAACACAGCTGATTGCGATTCTAAGTATCGAAGCTCCTATACCCCTCACATACAGATACATTCATCTTACCAAAACCTAGATGTCTTACTAAAACCTACAGATGCCCTAAACATAAACCCAAAGTCCTAAGACCCATATCCAAATGTCGCCGACGGGAGGGGGCGTACCCGGGCTGGGCCAGCGTCTTCTCGTCGGCCTCTCGAGGCGGAGTGGCTGACTTTGGGCCTTTCGGGCTCTTTCGGGGCTTTGCTTCAGGATCTTAGAGGCCTACGAGGCTTTGAGACTTGGAGGCTTCAGGGTTCCAGGCTAGAGGATGGAGGTCTCAGATTGGCTCTCAGGGCCCCTCAGGGCCGTCATGCACCGGACTGCTCGGAGGCTTTGCAAACTGCAGGCTGTTCTGCTTGTGTAGCCATTCTCTGCACAAAACTTGCAGGGGCAAACGCAAAGCAGCAGAGACAAATGGTATGGTGCCGGAGTGGTAGTGGTGATGGTGTTGGTGGTCGTCGTCGTCGTCGTCGTCGTCGTCGTCGTCGTCGTCGTCGTAGTAGTAGTAGTAGTAGTAGTAGTAGTATTAGAAGAAGAAGTAGTAGTAGTAGTAGTAGTAGGAGTAGGAGTAGGAGCAGTAGTAGTAGTAGTAGCAGTAGCAGTAGTAGTAGTAGTAGTAGTAGTAGTAGTAGTAGTAGTAGTAGTTAACCATATTTAATAATCGCAGCAGCAGCAGCAGCAGTTGTCGTCGGCGAAGTCGCAGTCGCAGCAGTAGCAGCAGCAGTAGGAGTATTAGCATTAGTAGTCGTCGTCTTAGTGGGAGTCGGAGTGGTAGTGCTACTGGTAGCAGCAGCAGCAGCAGCAGCCACAGGCAGCATCAGTAGTACCTGAAATCCTCAAACTAATGTCTACTATGTACGAAACTGAAAAGCCCGCGATGACGATGATGACGATGACGACGACGACGACGCTGGACTTCTTAACCCTAAACCCTAAACCCTACTGGCCTTCTTCAAAGGCAGCTCTTTCATGATCTGCGGTGAAGCGGCGTTGAAGAGCAAGCACACGGAAAGCCTCGGGTCGGGCTTAAGGCCTGGGCTTGCTTGGGGTCTAAATATATTGGGGTTTAGGGTTTAGGGTTTAGGGTTTAGGGTTTAGGGTTTGGGGTTTAGGGTTTAGGGTTTAGGGTTTAGGGTTTAGGGGTAGGGTATGTAGGGACCTAAAGAATTACCAATATTATTTTTTGGGGGGGGTTCTTATTATAAATCGAGTATCATATACCCCAAAACGCTATTCTAATTGTTAAGGCCCCTATATTACGTATGAAGGCCCCAAGCTACTGGCGCAACTCCTTTTCGGATTGAAATCCTGCAGGCACCGAGACCCTAGTGTTCGTTGACAGGCGAGGCCCCGGCAAAGGCAACAGAAGTAGAAGAATGGCGAGGACGTGGAATCCCTGGCGGATTCAGGTCTCAAGAAAGAACTCACAAGCTTGGGCATAGAACCCCCTGGCACACAAATACACAGAGCTATATCACGTCAAGTTAGCTTCCACATGCTTACATTGAACTCGTAACGTGCCATGTTGTATCAAAATTGTATTAGCTCAGTCATTAAACGGTGTTATATCATATCAGATCTTATTCTAGACCGTATAACGCATACGCAGATTTTCTGTAGTTATACCATCGGGCATAAACCATGTTGTATCCTATTCGGTTGCAGTATGTATGTATGTATGTATGTATGTATGTATGTATGTATGTATGTATGTATGGATGTATGTATGTATGGATGTATGTATGTATGTATGTATGTATGTATGTATGTATGTATGTATGTATGTATGTATGTATGTATGTATGTATTATATATATACACACACAGATACTCTAGGTAGATGTAAAAGGTTTGATGCTTTCAACCCAAGACTCCGAATGACTAGGAGGTTTGGAAGAACACGTGAACAGCTCAGCGTCTGAAATGCTCCGTGCGATAGCCGCTAACCACATCATACAACATCAGGCATATATACAAGCGGGTCACCCTCGGCCTCATGCAATGTCAAACTGGGAAACCCAACTAACCTCCAGCCCACATCTGAATTCGTCCGGACTTTTACAACCCTGCAGTCCTGCTTTCATTTTGTGACAACCTGATACGCTGGATATGGCTGTGGAGGTCCTCGACGGTTCCCCGCGTGTAGAAGTCGCAGAAGCGGCGAGAGTATCCCGTTCGAAATCTATGGGTTGGCAGGGCTTGGGGCATGGACCTCGCTGCCGCAGCGACATGACAAATAAAAGAAGAGCATTGCCAACATGAGCTGACCTTAAAGTCGAGAGCGCAATAGCAGGCCCTGAAGCCACATACATTCATGGCACTGTAGCCGACGACAGCATGCCCTGTACCTAAGTTCCCGAAGACACCGCCTTGTCCGACCAGAGATCCTCGGACCATCCTTCTCAAGTCTCAAGTCTTCCACAACTACCCTCTAAAAGGCCAGAGCCCAGATAAACCTGTCTCCAGCCTCCATGGGAGGAGGTAGGCACAGGAGCGACTGCAGGGAGACCTCCGCAGGCAAATGCCATCTTTAAAGCACATCGGTGCCCCAAAGCTGTCCCTCTACTTTCTTAGAAGCCATCATTAGAATAGGGTTTCGGGGTACATTATACTATAACTATAATGAGGAATCCCCAAAATAATATAGGTTATGATTGAAGCCCCAGACTGGTGGAGTGGTCCGGTGGGCAAGATGAGTGCCTGCGAATAACTTGACTAACTTGATCGCTGACACACAACTCTACAGTTTAGGGTTTATAGGGTTTAGGGGTTTAGGGGTTTAGGGTTTAGGGTTTATTTAGGGCAGGTTTAGGGATACGTAAGGGTTCGGATCGTAAGGGTTCAGGAATTGCAGACCGGAAGACCAGCCAAATCAAGCGGAAACCCATGCGGCCAAGAAAACAGCAAACCTCCTGCCGACCATAAAACCTTCGGGCCAAGCGCGAGCCCTCGAAACCTAATTGAGGCCGTATGACAAGATCTAACAGATCTGACTGACTCAAGCCATTGGGTATGGGTTTGTCGGGTTGAGGTTTTGGGATTCAAGGGCCAGGTTAGGCCTAGGCTTGAGGAGTTTTGAAACCCGGGTGATCAACCTTTAAACTCGGAGAAGACCCTGGCGCTATGCACCGGGCGATGACAGCCAGCTCCACCGCCCCGCAGATGTAGTGTATCAGCACCTCTGGATAGCTCTGTTGCGGTTGGGAGCATAACTAGGCACTTGGGAAGGTATGGCAAGGTGTCGGAGGTCGGCATCGGGATTGTTTCAATTGAAGCAGGAACTCGCCAAGAAACCTCTTCCTCACCGGGTGCGTGGAGCTTGAGGCCTAAACCTGAACTACTATAGGTCTAGTGAGTCTAGGGCTCATGGCTTTGGACTGGGGGTTTAGGTCCCGACTCTGAACTCTGAGCATTCTCAAGCCGAAAACCATTTCCTAAACCCCTAAACCCTAAAACCCTAAACCTTAAAACCCTAAACCCTAAAACCCTAAACCCTAAACCCCTAAACCCTAAACCAAGTTTCGGGTTTAGGGTAGCTTGTTCTGCCGTCCAGGCGCCATGAGGATGCAATCCACACACCGCCTCGGAAGCGCGGGAGCTGAAACTCCGTGCAGTCGCAATTCGAACGGTCGTGGGGGTAGGGTTTAGGGTTTAGCGTTTAGGGTATTTTTATACCATAGACACTGAACCCTAAACCCTAAACCCTAAACCCCTATATTAGAGACGGGTTACTCCGATCTTGGGGATGAAGAATGAGAGTACGCTCCAGTTTTTCGCCTTTTGGGCTCAAAGAAGTGGAACCTGACGTGGGTTGTCCCAAGTGTGCATTAGGGTTTGGGTTTCGGGTTTCAGGACCCTAAACCCTAAACCCCTAAACCCTCAAAGCAACTGAAGCAAAGCGAGGGCGACCCCTTGACCCCAAAAGTCCTGGCGGCTGGCTCCCGGCCTCGAGCTCCTGAGACTCAAGCTCTAGACCCGGAACCCGTGATTAAGGTGCCTTAATAATTTCAATAGGGTTTGAAGTTCTACTATACGTATGTATAATAAGGAACCCCCCCTAAAATAGTATAGTTAATTCTTCAGGCCCCTACATTAAGCCAACGCCCCAAAGATGCTGACCAGCCGCCGCGCTTCCTTGATCGCGTTGAACAAGACCTCGAGCCTGGGTGGTGCCAAACGGCGCCGTCGCTCAGGAATGAGGGGGCGTTCATAATTAGAACAGGGTTTGGGGATATATTGTGCTATAACTATAAAATAAGGAGCCACCAAAATAGTATAGGCAATTATTACCAAGATCCAGCGTTTGGGGCTTTCAGGTGTGTTTTTCAGTTTGGGGTTAGATAGTTTAGCGAGCCAGAGTTTAGGTCCTAGTTGAGTTCAAGTCTAGGATTTAGGTTTAGGAGCTGGGGAGTTTTAGAGGTCGTGATTTCATGAGGCCTGTCGTGCCACATGAACAGTTCGTTGTTTGGACGTGCGGCTTTTGATGTGATGTTTCGAGGCCTTGTGCCGCACTGGCCGCATCCTACGCTGCCGTGACATAGGTAGACCCAACTTGCTACGGAACCCGAAGCCCACTACAGCACCGACAGCGCTATGCAACTGCTACAGGCTTTCTGGCTCCCATGCGAGCCTCGGTTGGGGCGTACACGGGGGCGCTGTGCACAGGAAATGCTGGCGTCCGAAAGTCTATGGGAACCCCACTCCTAAAGCTGAAGAGACCCTTTACCCACCCCAAAACCAGGGACCCCAGAGTCCCAGAGCAGCTAAGACCACCGGCGTGCGTTGCTCACCGTTGGAGAAGGAATGTCGAGCCTGGAGACTACGAGGCCAACAGAGCAAGCCCTGGCTCTTCTATGAGGACTTTAGGAAGTCTAGGGGTTTCGTGTTAAGGAACTTAGTAGGTTGCCATACTCGGGATATGTAGCCGGTATTCACTATGCAACTAGCAGCCTCCTCTCTGCGAAATTCTCTCGGAGACAACTGCACTATCAAGAAAAATGCTCTGATGGTGATGACGACGAGGATGGTAACGGTGATAACGCAGAAGATGAGGATGAGGATGATGATGATGATGATGATAATAATAATAATAATAATAGTAATAATAATAATAATAATAATAATTTTGAGGATGGTGCTGATGATGAGGATGATGATGGGGCTGACGATGTTGACAACGATGAACAGGATGATGATGATGATGATGATGATGATGATGGTGGTGATGATGATGGTGATGATGATGGTGGTGGTGATGCTCATGATGATGATGATGATGATGATGATGATGATGATGATCGTGATGATGATCATGATCATTATGATGACGATGGTGGTTGTGGTAAGCATGAGGGGATGACCATGATCATCTTCATGGTCTTGACCAAGAGCATGCTCAAGGAATAGATGTAGTAGTAATCATATTATTGCAGTGCCGGTGCTGCTCCAATTTCTTCTCACTTGCTGCTTTTTGGTTATCGCATCAAAGCTTTAAGTTTGCATCCCGAGCTGTCTTAGCCCCCCATCTACAGCAGGCCTGCAGCGCGCACGGGAGCGACGTCAGGTCCGCAGAGAGCTGGAACTCAGCACGATTCACCTGTTCTGATACTGAGTGCCGGGATACCGTGCGGCTGAGGCATGGGAGGCGATGATTAAAAGTGCCAGAATGCTTACAGGCGTGAAACCCGAAGAATCGTATCTGAAGCCTAAACCCACCCAACGGTGATGTGAAGAGAAAGTCCCTGAGAGTCGCGCTTCAGCACACCGCCACTTCTAAAGTCCAACCCTTGGAGCATGAGCTCAAGGACCACTCAATCGAAATTCCGAGGCCTCTGTGCCCTGATTTTTGAAAGCCCTGAATCCCTGAACACAATCCCACCCTGGACCACCCAAGACGGCCTTCGACTAAAGATTTAAGCTTGATTTAGAGTACTGTACAGTTACCTCTTAAAACCTACATTGGGCAGTTCTGGCTTACTCTCAAGCTCATATCCCAACACCATCAAGCCCCACTCCCCAATCTACAACCCCAAGTTGCCAAACCTCCACCCCAGACCCCAAGCCAGTAAGCCGAAACTCTTTGAGGCTCTCAACCTTCACCCCCGGCCCTGCAGCCGCCAGGGCACCATGTTGTTCACCAGCAACTCGTCGGAGCCTGCCGAGCCTGCGAGTACTACAGGGTTTAGGGTTTAGGGTTTAGGGTTTAGGGTTTAGGGGGTGTGTTTTGAGGGCCTGTCAGCAGATGGGACCATATTCAGCCCCACCGTGCAGCTCAAGGAAAGAAGTTCGGGCGGGTTGAAGATTTCTTCACTCAGCAACAAGCCCTTCAAAGGTTCAGGGGCCTTTGGATGTTCGAGCTCTTTGGCATCTTTCCTTGGCGCGGATCCTGCTTTACGGAGGTTGCAGCCTGCGGGGCGAGGAGCGCGACGGCCGAAGCATCGCCGGCACCTAGGGGAGTCAGTACATAAATACACACATACACACAGGCATACGTGTACATACACATACATACACATACATGTACACACATACACATTACACATATACATGCATGCATACATGCTTACCAGACATGCATACATTGTTACGTACATGGTTCGAGGGTAGGGCGGTGTCGCCTTTTGCTACTTCTGCAGTGTACAAGCCTGATGCTGCACAAGCCTTCAATCGGAAATCCTGGACCCTAAATCCTGAGCCCAAACCTCTCAACCCTGAACACCCCAAACCCCCTCAACCCCCAAAATCGCTAAGACAACCAGGATCCATAAGCCTCAGCCGAGGCAACGGCTGCGGCACTGAGTTTACCAACACCGAGACGGAGATGCTGGCCTGCGTGGATTCAGTGGGTTCAGGAGGTTTAGGATACTATAAGGCCCTAAACCCTAAACCCTAAACCCCAAAACCCCAAACCCTAAACCCTAAAACCCTAAAACCCTAAAACCCTAAACCCTAAAGTATAAGGCTCCAAGACGGTCCGGGTTAGATGAGGGCTCTAGGGTTTTGTGGGCAAATTAGAATGGGTTGGGGGTACTTAGGGCACCACTTAGGGCTCTTAATAATTAGAATAGGGTTTTGGGGGGTCCGTATTATAATTATAGTATAGTATACCCCCAAACCCTATTCTAATCTTCTTTGTCAAGGTTGTAACGGTGTGAACAGAGGTTCCAGGGGTCAGGGGCAAATTCGGGCTTCATCAATGGAATTTGGGCTTCAGGTTTAGGTTCTGCCGCAGGCTCGCGGTTGCGCAATGTCTTCTGGACTTCAAGGTCTCGATGCTGGTTGCAGGGATTCGCAGCGTAGGGGCTGCAGGGTGGAAGGGCTCAGGGATCAGCGAGTGATTTCGCTTAAGTTTTGGGCATCCGACGCTGATTTGTTCGCAAATTCAGGCATCCTAAAGGCACTCATTATTCCAGCCCCAGACCCTCAACGCTACACATCGAAAACACCAGACTCACCGCCCATCCCAATAACAGCCCCGGCCTGACGAAAAATCTCAAAGTTTGGCTGAAGAGCAGATCCAACACAGGTGACGCACTCAGCGTGCTCCTGGCTTTCGGCGCTCACGGCTTAGGACCTGAGGGCTGGGTTCCTGGGTTCCATGCTGTGCTGCAAACATTCGGATAAAAAGTTGGGGACACGCTCAAGGTATCTCAGCCGTCTACTGATCACGAAAGGGCAACGCCTCGACAATGCAACGACCTCAACAACCGCAGCAGCAGCGAGAAGAGAAGCAGAAACAGCGCCAACACTACTGACATTGACCACGGTCGCTTCCTCATCATCATCATCATCATCATCGCGAAGAGGGCGCGCAAAAATTGTGCAACCATCATCATCATCATCATCACAGACCAACCCATCAGCATCGGGATCACCATCGCCATGCATCTTCTACTACGTACTGCCACTGTCATCGTCGTCATGTCATGGTTACAAGTAGAAACCGTAGAGTCAATTACATGTTTGCAATCGTGGCTAAGGGGCACATGGTCCTCGACACTACTGCCGCGCTCTTGCCAGCAGCAGAAAAGTTCGAATTCAAACGTTATCCGTCCTGCATGATGCTGATCATCTGCTGCGCTCTCCACGGCGTGGCCTCCGAGAGCACTAAATCCTGAACCCCAGCTTCACATTTTTCAGGCTCAGCGCATTCAAACCCACCCCCAAACCCTCAAGCTAGGCTCCCCAATCGTGCTGCTCCAAAGGCCTACTCCCAGAAAGTCCGCCAACTTGGACAGCTCCCGGAGCGCAAAGGCTGCAAGCCCAAGTTCGAGGCATCATGAGCCATGAACTCGAAGTTGCTAAACCCTGGTCATGCACTCTTCGCACCTTGGAGTACAAAGAGACAAGCAAGGGCACGTTGTCCACCTGTGCATACTGGAGCCGTCGAGGATTCAGGCGTTGATATTGTTTTAGAGCTCCTTGGATTGACTCTCATCGGCTCTCTCTCGAAGCAGCAAGTTGACTTGACTCACTCATCGAGTCTCAAAAACCTATGGTCAACATACGTAAATGTGCTGATGTTTCTGAGGCTGAATACAATCCCCGGTTTTCTGATAGCTGTTCTTTGATGACAACTTTAGTGATGAAGGCTCACGACCACTGTGATGAGCACTGTGATGAGCCTTCCGGAAAACCATCAAATCCTGAAACACCTCTTCGGAATAAAGCCCTCAACAAATCTGGGGATTGTGCGGCAGCCTTTCTTCGTTTGCTGCTTTTACCGACACTTGTGGCACGCCCGACGCCCCCGTAACAGCCCAAGAAAGGCCGCACTTATGGTTATGTTTAAAGATCTTTTTCCTCTGGCAGCCTGAACCCAATCTGGAAGCCTACATTGCGCGACCGGCCATCTCAGGCCAGTCATCAAACCCTAGACGCCCGCCGCCTCCTTCACGTGTCGCCGAATTTTAGCGATGCCGGAGGGGAGCACTACCTGATGAAGCGGCTGAGGGTTTTGAGCGGCTTCGGGTTTGGGTGACTGTGTAAACGACGCAAGGGATGGAAGCAAAAGTACGAGGAAAAGCCTGCGATGCACCCCCCCACCCGAAAAAGTCGAGCCTGAATCCACCAAACCACCAAGCCTCTCAGGTTTGCATACGATATAGCTTCCTTTCACGGAGATTACAGCCCGATAGAGTCCCTGTAGAATTATACTGTAGCTTCCGTCCGAAAGACTATAAAATGGCTTTAGATGGTCTCTCACCCTAAACCCTAAACCCCAAACCTTGACCCCTGAACCTCAAACCTTAAACTCTCAACCTTAAACCCGTAACCCTGAGCCTTTAACCCTAAACCCTAA